TGCTAATTGCTTCGTCTGAATATAGAAAACATGAAATATAATTTATTAAAGCTAAACTTGAGGCAGATGTAAAAACAAACCAGTTAAGGATTGATAACAAAAAGAAAAAGGCAGTTTGGTGAAACCTCTAGTGATCTAAAGATCTAGAGGAATCAGGACCTCATTCCTCCTACTGATATAAAGATCTATATAGAAGAATCTGGACCTACTTCCGGTGACCTCTCTAGTGATCTAAAGATCTATATAGAGGAATCAGAGCCTGCTTCCTCCCACTGGTGACCCCTCTAGTGATATCAAGATCTATATAGAGGAATCAGAAGAGCCTGCTTCCTCCTGCCGGTGACCCCTCTAGTGATATAAAGATCTATATAGAAGAATCAGGACCTCCTGCCGGTGACCCCTCTAGTGATATCAAGATCTATATAGAGGAATCAGGACCTCCTTCCTCCTGCCGGTGACCCCTCTAGTGATATAAAGATCTATATAGAAGAATCAGGACCTCCTGCCGGTGACCCCTCTAGTGATATAAAGATCTATATAGAGGAAACAGGACCTCCTTCCTCCTGCCGGTGACCCCTCTAGTGATATAAAGATCTATATAGAGGAATCGGGACCTCCTTCCTCCTGCCGGTGACCCCTCTAGTGACATAAAGATCTATATAGAGGAATCGGGACCTCCTTCCTCTGCCGGTGACCCCTCTAGTGACATAAAGATCTATATAGAGGAATCGGGACCTCCTTCCTCCTGCCGGTGACCCCTCTAGTGACATAAAGATCTATATAGAGGAATCGGACCTCCAACCTCCTTCCTCCTGCAGGTGACCCCTCTAGTGATATAAAGATCTATATAGAGGAATCAGGACCTCCTTCCTCTCCTGCCGGTGACCCCTCTAGTGATACAAGATCTGTATAGAGGAATCAGGACCTCCTTCCTCCTGCCGGTGATCCCTCTAGTGATAAAGATCTATATAGAGGAATCAGGACCTCCTTCCTCCTGCCGGTGATCCCTCTAGTGATAAAGATCTATATAGAGGAATCAGGACCTCCTTCCTCCTGCCGGTGACCCCTCTAGTGATAAAGATCTATATAGAGGAATCAGGACCTCCTTCCTCCCGCCGGTGACCCCTCTAGTGATAGGATCTATATAGAGGAATCAGGACCTCCTTCCTCCTGCCGGTGATCCCTCTAGTGATATAAAGATCTATATAGAGGAATCAGGACCTCCTTCCTCCTTTTGATGATCCCTTACACCCCACAATTCTATTTGCTTCCATTGTCCGCATCAAAGAATCGTACGCTGAAAGCTGCTCATTTAAGTCTCAGACTTCTGCTGAAAACACAACAAGGTAAAATCTCAGACGGGTTAAACAATAAATGTTCTGTGTATAATAATTACGATGCTGTTTTTCATGTCAGATTGCTGAAGATTCTTCTTGTACAGAACAAGTATAATTGGGAGAACATAGAAAATAAAAGCATCTGCTAAGGAGCTCAGGAGAGCCTGGCAACGGAATGTCTCACAGTTTTGATTTCAATTTAGAAAACAAATCTTCAGAGACTCTCCCATCCTCTGAAGTTCATACCCCAAGGCAGACCAATCACTTGATTCCCCCATCAATACAGACGTACATTAGTGTCCCAGTCAGGGTTCCCCCTTATATCAGTGCTCCCCCTTACATCAGAGTCCCCATCAGGGTCCACCCTTATATCAGTGTCCCCCTTTACATCGTGTCCCCATCAGAGTCCCCCCTATCCTTACATTAGCGTCCCCATCGGTTCCCTTTACATTAGGGTCCCCATCAGACTCACCCCCCCCCCCCCATCAGTGTCCCCAACCGAGTCCTCCTTTACATCAGTTTCCCCATCAAAAACGCCCCTATAGCAGTAGACAGGAGTTAATGAGCTTTAATATGAGGGCATTCTAGAGATCTTAAAAATGCTCCCCAAATGCCCTATGCATGGTTTTGAGGCATTTTCCAAGCATTAAAGCCGCACTACAAATGCCTATAATAAACTCTAATGGTATTAACACTCCGCAAATGCCTGCCAGCTGTTTGAGGAGCGGCACCATAGACTTGAATGAGAGGCATTGAAAGGCTTCAGCTCCTCCTGACTCCACATAAGGCTTCAATTTTGTAGCGACGTGATGCTAATGCTTCTTGTTTTGCTAATGTGAACAGCACTGTGCGCTGCTCATAGTATCATTTCCATAGGTGTTTGAGGAGCATTAAAAACGCCCCTCAAAAGCTAGTGTGAATTAGCCTTACACTGCTGTAAGACACCGGCTTTTTTTACCAGCTAATCATTTATGGGAGAAGCAGGAAAGGATTTACATGCACAGCACTTCTGACATAGTAATGGCTGGCAGATGTACTCTCACCGGCCACTTTATTAGGCACACCTTGCTAGTACTGGGTTGGACCCCATTTCACCTTCTACCATCTGAATGTCGCAACTGAAATCCACAACTACCACCATTTTATTCTCCAGGGTCTCTGCTTTCAGATATTATTTGTTTTTTGTTTTTTTTCTTTGCGGGGGGGGGGGGGGGGGGGGGGGGGGGGTTTTTAAGCAATTATCAGGTCTAAAATGATTTTTTAAATGTGTATTTAAAAAAAAAAAAAAAAAAAGCTCTGGCAGCAATAGGGCTAAAGAGATAAAGGGGAATCGAACATGTGTTGCAGAGATGGACGGCATTTTTTTTTTTGGTCCTGATATACACATTAAAACTGTTTGCTTGCTAAGACTCAAGTTCCCTGTGCTAAAAATCCACATCCAATCGTTTCCTCGCAACGGCATGGCTCCATTAATGGAAGAAAACCTTTAATGGCACCAGAGGGAGAAGGGACTTTAATACAATGTTATGAGTGAGTGTAATACATAGTCACAGTCTGTCATAAAAAAAATTAAAAAACATATTTGGTGCCATTTCATGAGATCACAGATGCGGTTATGAATGATTCATGCTTATTTACAGTCACAATTTGTAGCATGTTTGATGGTGGCCCACATTCCCAACCGCGGACTTGTGTTTGTTCCTCTTTTCATTGTTTAACAATGCAGCTTCCATGAGAATGAGATCCCCGCTAATGAACTCAAGGGGTTTAATCAGAGCACTGTGCTGGGATCTACGAAGACTGTCTACTGGGAGACAAAACTAATAATTCTGCCATTAAGAGATCATTAGACATTGCGTGCTTCTTAGTGAGAGAATAATGAGGAATACGAAACCGCAAGTCACGCGGTGGGAAGTTGGAAACAGGGACGCAACTCTCACATGAGACAAAACCATAAATATAATCCAATATAAATTTTATAGAAGGAAAAGAAGGCATCACTTGTGATAGTCTGCTGCGTATTAACAAAGACTGCCGGTCTAATGGAGTTCAATGGAAACATGCCATGAGCTAGGAATCATAAAATGGAAAGAACTTGAACTTGGGAGGCTCCACAGCCACATAAATTGTAGCCATTTTAGTTATACATCCATTAAAATTGCCTGTTTACAATAAAACCCCATATAAAAACATGGGAAAATGTAAACACTGGATATTATAACTTCCATTATTTAACACCCAGTTATTACTGTCCATCTAGCACTTAATGATAACTCCTATTACCATCAATGGACACCAATCAGCCATAACATTATGAGTAAAGTGAATAATACTGATTATCGCATGACAATGGCACCTAAAAGTGGGTGGGATATATTAGGCAGCAAGTGAACATGTTGTCCCTGAAGCTGCGTTGAAAGCAGATAAAATGGACAGGCATAAGAATTTGAGCAAACAGCAAACTCTGTACTCCTGCGCTGGAGATGGACTCAGGAGAGGCTATGGTAACAATTCAGATATCCTGGAATATGCACTCCTTGCTGCCCTCAACGGACCGGGGTAGTCCAAAGTCACTGGATACAAAAGAAAACAAAAAGAGGGCGCACCGGCCTAGTGCATGATCGTAAAGAATATTTATTAACCACTTCCAGTCCGGACACGTTCCCCCCTTCCAGTCCCGACGCTTCCCCCCCCCCCCTTCCAGTCCGGACTTTCCTTCCCCCCCTTCCAGTCCGGACGCTTTCCCCCCCTTCCAGTCCGGACGCTTTCCCCCCCTTCCAGTCCCGACGCTTTCCCCCCCTTCCAGTCCCGACGCTTTCCCCCCCCCCCCCCCTTCCAGTCCCGACGCTTTCCCCCCCCCCCCCCTTCCAGTCCCGACGCTTCCCCCCCCCCCCTTCCAGCCGGACGCTTTCCCCCCCTTCCAGTCCGGACACTTTCCCCCCCTTCCAGTCCGGACGCTTTCCCCCCCTTCCAGTCCGGACGCTTTCCCCCCCCGGACACTCCAGTCCGGACGCTTTCCCCCCCTTTCCAGTCCGGACGCTTTCCCCCCCTTCCAGTCCGGACGCTTTCCCCCCCTTCCAGTCCGGACACTTTCACCCCCTTCCAGTCCGGACGCTTTCCCCCCCTTCCAGTCCGGACACTTTCACCCCCTTCCAGTCCGGACACTTTCACCCCCCTTTCCTGCCCAGCCCAAGTTTCAGCTTTCAGCGCTATCACACTTTGAATGACAATTGCGCGGTCATGCAACACTGTACCTATATGAATTTTTTAGCATTTTTTTTTTAGACAGATAAAGCTTTATTTTGGTGGTATTTAGTCACCATTGGGATTTTTTTTTTTTGCTATGTAAATTAAAAAGTCCAAAAATTTTTTTTAAAAAGTTTTTTTTTGTTTTTTCTTTTAAAATTTAGCAAATAGTATTTCATAATAAATCTTGGCCAAAATGTATTGTTATATTTTAGTAAAAAAAAAAAAATAACCCAAATTAGTTTATAACCAAAAGTTATCATTTTTAAAACTTTTTTTTATATTATTTATTTATTTTACATACTCTCACCCTACCAATACAGTGTCACCATGGTGACACTGTACTACTTGTGGGGGGGTGATTTTTTTTTTTTTTTTTTTTTACACTGATTGCTTTTACACCCATAAAGGCTGTAAAAGCAATCATTTCTCCTTCTCTCTGGCTGCATTCTTGCAGCCATTGAGAACTACTGCGTGAGCTGTGATTGGTCACAGCTTGTCACATGGTACAAGGCTGTTGTGAATGGCCCTGTACCATGTGACCTCTGTGATCATTCACAGATTTCACATGTAGTAAACAATGTCAGAAGTGACATCTTGCTTACTACTCTTCATGTGATCACTGATTGGCCAATCAGTGATCACGATTGGGATGGTCCCATTCGACGATCGATGTTCCACTGTGTCCAGAGGACACAGCGGGCACCGGATCGCGGTGCTGCACGCTTCCAGGGATTGCGCACAAGCAGGGTGCGGGGAGACCATTTATAAACGGCCACCCGACCCTGCACTGCCACCGTCCGGCCGTTTATATACAACGGCCGGACGGGAGGTGGTTAAAAGGATAAAAAGTAGGTATACTCCCAATGGACATATAAAAACAAAGGCACGTCACAATAAACAGCAGTGTCCAATACATACAGCATCTAAGTCCAAAACAACGGAACCTTGGACTTTCAACTGGCTAACGCGTTTCGAACACACTAGAGATGTTGACTCTGAGGAAGAGGCTAAGCCCTCGAAACGCGTTAGCCAGTTGGAAGTCCAGGGTTCCATTGTTTTGGACGCAGATGCTGTATGGATTGGACACTGCTGTTTATTGTGATGTGCCTTTCTTTTATATGTCCATTGTGAGTATGATACCTACTTTTTATCCTTTTAATAAATATTCTTTACGATAATGCACTAGGCCGGTGCATCCTCTTTTTGTTTTCTTTTGTATCCTATAAGAATTTGAGCAACTTTGATAAAGGGCCAAATTGTAATGGCGAGACGACTGGGTCAAAGCAACTCCAGATCTGCAGCTCTAGTGAGATGTTCCCAGTCTGCAGTGGTCAGGACCGACCAAAAGTGATTCAAGGAAAGAAAACTGAGGACAGGGTCATGGGCAGCCAAGGCTCATCGATTCACGTGGTCTGGTTTGTGCAGTCGAATTCTATAGAAGGGCTCCTGTAGCTCAGATTGCTGAAAAATGTAATGCTAGTTCTGACAGAAAGGAGTCAGGACACACAGAGCCTCGCAGTTTGTTGTGTATGGGGCTGTGTAGCTGCAGACCGGTCAGGGTGCCCATGCTGACCCGTGTCCTCAGTCAAAAGTGATTACAATGGACACGTGAGCATCAGAACTGGACCACGGAGCAATGGAAGAAGGTGGCCTGGTCTGATGAATGACATATTCTTTTACATCATGTGGATGGCTGGGTGTGTGTGCGTCGCTTACCTGGGGAAGAGATGGCACAAGAATGCAGTTTGGGAAGAAAGCAAGCCGGCGGAGGCAGTGTGATGCTTTAGGCAATGTTCTGCTTGGGAAACCTTGGGTCCTGCCATTCCTGTGGATGTTACTTGACATGTATCACCTACCTAAACATTGTGTTTGACGAAGTCCACCCCCTTCATGGGAACAGTATTCCCTGATGGCAGTGGGCTCTTTCAGCAGGATAATATGCCCTGCCACACTGCAAAAAGCGTTCAAGAATAGTTTGATAAACACAATAGCAAGTTTGAGGTGTTGACCTGGCCTCCAAATTCTCCAGATCTCAAGCCAATCGAGTATCTGTGATAAGTGCTGTAAAAACAAGTCTTATCCATGGAAGCCCCACCTTGCTACTTACAGGAAGTGATCTGCTAATGACGGCTTGGTGCCAGATACCACAGCATAACTTCACAGGTCTAGCAGGTTCCATGGATCGAGAGGTCAGGGCTGTATTGGTGGCAAAAGGAGGTCCTACTCAATATGTGGTCATTTTATCGCTGATTAGTGGTCTCCAAACTGTGGCCCTTTGCTTTCCTTTATCTGACCTTTGGGCACGATTTCTCCCCCTGATTCAAGGCTGTATTCCTCCAATTTATACCAATGCCAGGGGCACTATTCCTTCCACTCATGCCAATGACAGGGCACTATTCCTCCCACTCATGCCAATGTCGGGGCACTATTCCTCCCACTCATACCAATGTCGGGGCACTATTCCTCCCACTCATACCAATGATGGGTCACAATTCCTCCCACTAATACCAATGATGGGTCACAATTCCTCCCACTGACCAATGACGGGACACCATTCCTCCCACTCATACCAATGACGGGACACCATTCCTCCCACTCATACCAATGACGGGACACCATTCCTCCCACTCATACCAATGACGGGACACCATTCCTCCCACTCATACCAATGACGGGACACCATTCCTCCCACTGACACCAATGATGGGGTCACCATTCCTCCCACTGACACCAATGATGGAGCACTATTCCTCCCACTGACACCAATGATGGGTCACTATTCCTCCCACTGACACCAATGATGGGTCACCATTCCTCCCACTCATACCAATGACAGGACACCATTCCTCCCACTCATACCAATGATGGGGCACCATTCCTCCCACTCATACCAATGATGGGGCACCATTCCTCCCACTCATACCAATGATGGGGCACCATTCCTCCCACTGATACCAATGATGGGGCACTATTCCTCCCACTCATACCAATGATGGGGCACCATTCCTCCCACTCATACCAATGACGGGTCACCATTCCTCCCACTCATACCAATGACGGGTCACACCATTCCTCCCACTCATACCAATGACGGGGCACATTCTCCCCACTCATACCAATGACGGGGCATCATTCCACCATTCAGTCTTGAGAACGCCCAGTGGGAGGGGTGAAAACGCATCAACGCACTTCCAGTCTACGATCTGAACAGCCTGCGCAACTTCCGGTGAGTGGAACACACACCGAGCGGTGCATTCCAAGCGTCCATATTGGGATCTGTCTGTATCATACATTGTCATCCTCTGCCAGCCGAGCTGTGAGGTTTCTGAGAGCTATTTCTGGATGGTGATGGTCTTTATTGATCGATGGAGGATAATAAAACATGCTTTTATTATATTTGGAAAATGTGAGTGGCCTGGTATATATCTATATGGTTTGGAGATCATTGGCAATATTACACTATATGATTTTTTTATTTGACACAACGGTGGAGCTGGTTTGGAGGTCCTGATCTAGAAAGGAGTGGAAGGACTACACTAGCCCTGTATGGTGGAATGGAGGTCTGGAGGCTATAGAGGGGGTGTAGGATCTCTGAAATTCCTAAAAGGCCTACTATTCACCAGTATCTGGTGAGTGCGGTTTATGTTGTTTTGCACTGGTGGAAGGTGGAAGCACACATTTACAGAAGAGTATTTCTTTTGTCTAAGCACTTTGAAGGCTGGGAAAAAGGATTTTGGACTTTTTTTTTATATATATATAAATATATATATATATATATATATATATATTTTTTTTTTTTTTTTTTTTTTTTATATATTTTATATGTTATATATATTTTTTTTAATTGAGTTTTTTAGGCACGTTTATTATTTATTTTTCTGATTTGAGTGTGTCACATTTAGATATACATATTTTTTTGCACATATATGTATCCAATTTAATTGGTTTAGGTATTATTTGCGCTGTTTTATTTTTGTTTTTGTTTTTTATTTGGTGTTTACACTAGTGCACAGCAGCATTGTATACCTGGGGCTGTAAACATTCTGTGGCGCAGGAGAATATTTTTGCAATATGCCTGTCATAGCTGGAAACCCCCAAGAAGTCACCCCCCTTTCAACTGTAGAAGCAGTTTGAGCCTTAATGAACGAATGCTGTAGCCACTGAAACATACTGGCTTACTATCTCTCAACCTCCCAAGCGGTATGATTATGTCAGTATTTCTGTGCTCAAAGCGGTACTTTTTTTTTATTGTAGGCCTGTAATTCTTAGGAATACCTCACTGAAATCTGTCTGAACAAGAGTCTAGTAAACATCCCGGGTATGTTAAAATCTGAAACACGAAATCATAAATTATAATTTAATAATCATAAAAAAAATATAATAATAAATTTAATTCAATAATATAATCAAACCAAAAAACACTGAAATGTGAAATAGAGCGCCAAGTTCGCACATCGCTGAGCTCAGTCGCAGAATCGTTTTCAGTGTCTGATGAGGAATTTCCCCCACAAATCATTATCACTCAATTCTGCAAGTGGTTCTGATTTACTATCGCTGTTCTCTAGCCGGTCTAAAACCGCGTCTGACCTAAAGGGACGCTTTTTGGACGCCATGGACGTTTCTCAGTTTCCAGGCAGAAAGAACAGTAAAAATGCAGACAGGGCGCCGGACAAAGCACTCGGGACAAAATGTATGTGAAATGGTTTGAAACAGGAATGTTATACTATGTGATTTTAGTGTATTTAGTGAATGTCACTTTTTCACATTTTTACATTTCCCGCCAGTTACGTCTCGACATCGCAGGGAACAGAACCTGGAAGACAGATGCCGGCATCGGCCGGAGGACATGGCCGGGGACGCTACAGGGGGGATATCACGGGAGCGAAGGACAAGGTAAGTGCAGAAGGGATCCCGGAGCTGCGCTGCAGTGTATTCCCGAGTGTAGCTCGGGGGGGTTACCGCTTGTGGTGCTGAAACTGAGCTACACTCGGGAATACCGCCGGGGGGGGGGGGGGGGGTTAACTACAAATAAATGCCCTTGGACTCCATTGTTTTTGGTGTTGTCCCAACACCTTCAAAGTTTTCAATGCTGTTCATGTCCCATATGGAGAGATTCCTCTACCTTCCTATCCCGGGGACCAAACAAGACATGGAAGATTCCCAAGTAGGGATTCAGCAATATAGATCTTTGAGGTTCTACAAGGAAAACTGCAGTCATTCTACTTGACTCCTGACTGTAGTTCCTCTTTAACACCACTTACCAAACAGGAAATGAATCTGCCAACAAAAAGAAAAATTCCTGTAAACAGAGCCAGAAAATGATTAAAAGTCCTTTCTGGTACCAAAGCGGCCAGAGGTCCAGCTATCTGGTCACTTACGTATGTTGATGGCATTCAAAAATGTGTTCTATGTTTAGTGACGGCTGCACAGTGCAAGGAATACTCCCCAAATGCCTCGAAAAAGGTACAGCGGCCCGCCCGATCCCTATACACATACTTGGACAGCACACGGGGCCAGAGGAAACGTTTTTTGGCTTTTTTTTTGTATTCCCCACCATCCATACATCATCATGTGAGAGCTTTAAAAATCCTATGTTCACATGGCTGGATCCA